AGAGATGAAGATAGAGTTATACAAAAATATAATTTATGAAGGTCTATAAAATATCAAAAGAGTCAAACAAATATTTAATCAACAAATGTATTTCTCATCAAAACTATAACTTTAATTATTTTTTAGTAATATAAAAGAAGGTTTACAAGAAAAGATTCTATAAATTAAGTTATTTTGATTCAAATATAAAAAAGTCTGAATATCTTTGTTCTATTAATATTTGAATAAATTAACTCAAAGTTAAAAGATGTTTAAATACCTGTGGGTCATAGAAAGTTTTGGTTCTAATTTAATTTAGATTATTAAATTGAAGAGGTGATTTAAAAAAGATAGATTCTAGATAGTAATTTAGAACTAGGTACAAACTTAAAAAGGATTAATTTAAAAATTTTCATAATTAATAATTTATTCATTATTGGTAGTTACTAAATACACAGGTAGTAAGAAATGGATTAATTGTTATAATGAGTGATTAATAATACAAAAGAAAAAGAAATATATAAATATTTTTTGTTAATTAATAAACTAAAAAATAAAATAAAAATTATATTTTTTAATAAACTAATAAAAAAACTTTGAAAATCAAAAGATGGAAAAAACTTTAGCAAACATCATTGAAAATAATAATATTAAGAAAGTTTGTTTATAAAAAATAATTTATAAAGGTTCATTAAGGATAATAATCAACTCATTTATAGAACATATTACCGAAGTATTTTCAATATTTTAATTCATATATAAGTGATGTAAAATGTGTTGACAATAAAACATTTGAAATAGAGACAATAGAGCTAGAAGTTAATTTTAAAGAAGAAGAGATCAATGAAAATTCGGTACTTAAAACAAACAGATTTAATGAATTACTTACAGTTTGTAAGAATTTATTATGAAAAGAAAAATTGAATACCAGTTTTAACAAATAGAGTATAAGACAAGAAAAAGGAAATGTTTCTATTTCTTCATTAAAATTTGTTATAAGGAAGAATAATAACGAGGCTTTAAAATTATTGATAAAAGAACTTGTTATTTCATGTGATGACCAACCAATAATATTATTTAATGAATTAGAAATACATATTAATACAAATAATAATCCAGTATTTCAGTATTGTATAAAAAGTGAAAAGGAAAAGTGTTGTATTAAAGGAGATGAATCATTATTTGATTTATTATTTGGTTATGAACAAAGCCTATTAAAAAAAGAAATAAATATTAATGTAGGAAGCATTGAATGGAATGTTCCATATGAAGTAATAAATGGAGATGAAATATTTGAAGGAATTAAGGAAATTAATACATTTAAACAGGAGCTCGTAAAGATACTAACATTAAAAACACCTGCAAGTTATTGGTCTTTTCAAAAAACTGAAACTCAAATCGGTGAATTACCTCAAATTCAACTTATTTGGAATTGTCAAGAACCAATTAAAATGAGCATTAATATTGATAATGGTATTACCATTCAAATGTTACTTAAATTAGATAATGAAAGAGAGTATGGTATGTGTATCGACTCAATACATATATTTAATAATAGTCAAGAATATATTGAAATTCATTCTATTGCAGTAACAGAAGAACAAGTTTCATGTGATAT